TTTAACTTTATAATGCTATGACATATTGAAAAGTGTATGGATCAACATTATTTTTTTATGAGAAATAATATTTTTTAATAATCCCTTTTTCATTCTACATACTTTATCTTAATTAGGATATTAATAATGAACTAGCAGATAATGTAGCTTTTGGAATAGTCCACCAATTTTTTAAAATTAAACACTATCTAAAGATTTGCATCGAAGCGTTTTTTTTTGATAGTGATTTTAATCACTGTCAGATATCATTATACTTAATCCATCTGTACCACGTCACCACTGTGCCGCGACCCCCCTGTGCTGGGTTTTTTTTTTTATATTTAAATCATCTATTCATTTTTATTCGAACATTTTGCAACGTGAAAACTAGAAAATTTATTGTATTTCCATGTTATTAGTGTAATATTTTTGCTCGGAATTAAAAATATCATAGTTTTTAAAAATGAATCTATTCATTTTATTAAAAAAATTAAAAATGCCATGATTGAAAAATATCAACTCATAATTGATAAGCTGTAACTTGAAATTTAACTGGTCACTTTTGATTGAAAAAACATGCTATTTATTTTTAATTAAAAATAGTATAGTTATTTTATATGCATGTCGCCTACGTGTAATTACACGACACAAATTATATTATACAACAAATCCACTAGTAATCATAAAAACATTTTAAGTTTTTTATTTTTGTTATCTTTTCGTTATCATTTTTTTTTAGAACCTTTGAATTTGTTTGATCTGTGATCACACAAATTTGATGAAATTTATGTGTTAATTATTTTGCATTATAAAAACAATGAAAACACGAATGAATNGTGAAATTTATGTGTTAATTATTTTGCATTATAAAAACAATGAAAACACGAATGATTAGTTCACACTTCATACATTGTTTATAAAAAATGATTTTATGGAACCACTATTTTATTATTATTCTATTTGTATGCAATCATCTAATGATTTAATTACGTGACTGCGATATGTTCTATTTAAATATCATCAGAAATATTAACGTTCACGTTGTTGACATGTCGAAACTACCAAATTTTTTCTATAAAACACTTCTAAATTCATTTTTTATAACATAAGTAATTTTTATTAGAACAAACTAAATAAAATAAAGTAAAAACTTTTTAAACAATAATTAACAAATGAAAATGAAAAATATAATTTATATAAATTTAATATTTTGTCCAACGTTTGAATTCTCGATGCCATTGATAATTTTTTACTTGTCTTGTCAAACTCAAATTACCGCTAAAAAAATTTCAATAAAGTTCATTATTCATAATCAATAACTATTGTCAAAAAAAAAAATTAATTCTAAGTTAAAACTATATTTTTATGAAATACCTTACACCCTAACAATTATAATTTTTTATTATTTTATGTATATATAATTTATTAAAACATACTTAAACTCTTTAACGACAGCATATTCATTAAACCGAACAGACTTTTTTTGATTAGAATCATAAAATCTGTTATTGTTTATATTATCTGATGAATTGATTTTACAATCTGCAGTATTTTTTTTCAAAACTCCTCTCTACAAAAAATCAATTTAATACATAATGAGCAATACATATATAAAATAAAATAATTTATAATGAAATGAAAAAAAAATGTTATCTAATTAAAAGTCTTTTATTTGTTGAAAAAGCTTACTTTGTTGACTGTATTGTAATAAACAGCAGAAGGAATATATTGAACTTTAGATTTGGCATTTTTATAAAATAATTTTTTGGATTTACGGTTAAACAGAAGTGTTCCGCTCACAGCGTATTTCATATCAGTTTTGCTATGATGAATGTCATTAGAAACATTATTTTCTTTGTAATTGCTTTCAGTTACATCATGTAAATTAGTTTCATGACATTCCGTATTATTCAACAGTAATTCAATTGTGTTAGACTCCACAGAAACAATACTCCGAATTTCAGACTCTGCATTTTTATCAGTTACTTTTTCAGAATTATTTTCGGACGGTAAGGTTATATTTTCAGTGAATTTCATATTAGTTTTGTGAAGACAAATTTCATCATTAGAAACATTATTTGCTTTGCAGTCGGTTGTTACAACAAATGAGTTCATATTTTCACCATTCGTATTATTAAACAATAATTTGTCTGAAGTTGATGTAACTAAACTTTCAAAATTACAAGTACCGTTGTAATTATCCTCAGTATTTTCTAATGTAGGTTCCTTACCTACATCATCTATTACACCTTTAGTTTTGACGTCATTTATGAATGAAGTTGCTATTAAAACAGGAAGACACACGGTTAGCCTTTTCTCGTCAGTATCAAATACACCAGTAGCATTATCTACTGAAACGAAGCTCGGTATATTAATATTTAGTTTATAACATGCAGAACTTGTAGAAACTAACTTCAAAACATTTTTTAAAATTGTTAAGACAATGTTTTTAGAATCTTCTAGTAATGGTAAATCAATTTCAATTATTATCTCATTCAAATTCAAAGTTGGCATCGAGTTAAGCAGTTCATCATCGTTGACATCAAGAATATTAGCACCTGAACGATATTTGATTGTATACGACGGTGTAATAAATGAAGATGTTTCTAGATCAGCCAAATCAAGTGTTTGTGTAGAGCTATCTTGAAGATCAGAAATAAAAGAGCTAACGTTATTTAATGGTTCAATTTTAATCGGCTCAACCACACCGAATACACTCTTTTTAGAGTACTTAACGAAGTCCCTATCTAAAACAATATTATAACTATTCTCAATAGACTTCAGAGCTGCATCTTTGACAAAATCTTTAAAGTCATTATTAAGGACAGTCGAAAGTACAAAATCAGTGTGAAAAACTACGTCAATAATGCAATTTAGATTATTTTTCGAATCACTTACATAACGTCTTGGTGAAATGCAATTTGGAATACACCAATCGTTTTTATTAATATCAGAGGAGCATGATGCTTTTCCAATTTCATTACTATAACAAACGTTTATAAAAACTTTTAAATGGGATTTTGCATTTATGTCGTTCAAGTGAGTTTTTATGACAAACACTGGAATTGGTTGTACGAGTAATTGAGGACAGTCTTGATCCATTTCTTGATTTATGACGTCCCTTTCATAACCAAGATTATTCTTCTCTTTGTTTGAAATATCGCAAGTTTCACTATCATCGGGTTTTATTTGTTTTGATCGTTCTAAATTAATAGACTCGAAAGAAAAAAGGTTACCCATTGTAGTGACTTTATTATAAGAATTCACAATTTGTTACTAAAGTGTTGAGCTTAGAAAACGAAGTGACAAATTTTGAAATAAAAATATATACGCGAGTTGTTTAAAAGTTGATTTTGTTTCTACGGATATGTTAGAACAATTAACAGTTTTTATTTAAGCTAATTATAAAATATATTTTTATTGCATAATTATTAACGTGTTACTAAGTATTAGTTTTAGAGAAATTTATTACAACGATTATAAGCTGAAATATTAAAAGGTTTCAAGAAATATCAGCGCTGTTCTTTTATTTTTATGAGTTTAGCTAATGAGTCTAACTAAGTATAATTACTATTATTATTTTATTTATTTTGGATCTTAAAAATAAATAGATAAATGAATGATAATAATATTATTACGATATAAAATTTGTAACAATTAATGATTGTTCATAGATTTTTATAATGGTAAACAAGTAAATGTATTCGTATATTATCCTATAAAAATAAGTTTTTAAAAAAGAAATTATATTTAAGCTTTTTTTAAGTGACGGCCGGCTAGCAGTATATTTAAAAAAAAATTGCGAATTTTTTGACATGTGAGGTGTTAATTAGAAGTACCCAAATAAGCTGTATGAAGCATATTCTTAATTGAATGAACTGTATAACTAATTTAGTGCATAGTTAATGAATGTTTATCATTAGGTATACCAAATTTTGACGGAAGATAAGTAATAGTAGTGGAAACCATTATAAAAAGTGAATTGATTGTATTCAGTTTGACGTATTAAATTATATTGTTAGTTTAATCAAAATTCTTAACTATGAATATAATAATAATAAATGATTGAATAAGAAAACGCTATCTTTTCATGATTACTGTGTATACATATGATAATAATGTGTATACATTACAAACTTGGCATTAATACCATGATAAGAAATTAGATAAGGCAATTATTACTTATCACTCTCATTCAAAAGAATATTAAAAAGATAGCGCTTTCTTCTGTCCTTTTCACAATACGTATTTCAATGTTTAATACCGTAAAATAGTACATGAAAATTCAAATTTTTACAAACTTCAAAACGCTACAGAATATTTACTACTGAATATTAATAAGATATTTTTTTACTAAAATTTTTCTTAAATTCTACTCTACAAAATAGCTATCTTAGATNTTTTTTTAGATATATAATCATTAAAATTAATTAAATTCTGAATATTTCCATTGTAGAATCTTTTTAAACGCCAAAAGTTAATTAGAAATGATTACTATGATTTTTATTTAAGTGATCTATTACGATAAAAATGTAAAAAAATCTAATTTTTCTGATGAATATACTGTAAATAGTAATTATAAAATTTGCTGACAGCATATTAATCTTAACAATTTCATTTTTATCTATTTAATAATGTTAATATCAAACTTGCAAATTGAGCTACTTGTTATGGTAATAAATTCATTTTTTTTTTAAATAAAACTTTCACTTTAAAGGGCAATAAAAAGTAGGTTCAAAATTATTACTTTTAACATATTAAAAATTAAAATGAATAATAATATGAAAACAATTAATTTTAAAAATTATATAATACAGGGTGATTTTTTTATCATAACCCACTCAATTACTTGCAGAATAATAATAATTTAAACATTTTTTTTTTTTATTATCTTTAGTTACACATTATTCTTGAATTTTTAACTATGTAATACTTTTTAAGTTCATCCCTTATGCCTTGGAAGGGGGTCAACTTTGTTTTTTTAAATGGTAACACATATTTTTAATTTAATAAAATGTTTGAGTTTTTAATTTAATAGTAAATGGCATTTGAATTTTTAATATAAATTAATTCGTTTATTAGATATAATCATTTAAAGTTTCAAATTTTTGAGTTAATATTTAGGTATAATACGCAAGGGATTACAAATACAGGTAGCTAATTGATTTTTTATGACATCGATATTAGCAGGTACACAGCATTGTTATTATCAAT